AATCTGCATATTCAGCAGGATTTAATCAAATTTCATCAACATGAAAAAGTGACGTTCATGTTGTGAGAAAAATATGTGTAGAGGAGATCAAATTAAGTTTCAAACTCTAAACATCATTTTATTGCCTGCAGCTGTTTTCCAGAACTTTTTTACACAAATCCAGCGACCTTTTTTTTTCAGTGCTCCAACTGTACAGAGAAATAACTGAGTGCAAAAGATTGAAAAAAAAAAAAAAAGTCTCCATGAAGATGTTATTGTTTTGTCTGAAATGTTTCACAGTATGGCATTAAACCTTATCATCGTCATGGAAACCAACCCAGACCCAGTTACAGTCACAGACAGAAAGTTTGAGCTTTAAAACCACCTGTAATTGACTAAATGTAACAGATGTTTAATGTCATACTGTGGAACATTTCCAGACAGAGAAATGACATGTAGAAAGTAGAGACAGACTCCCAACCAAAAAGTGACACAGTGCATCCTTTAAGAATCAAAGTGTTAGTTTCAATAAATAAGACAGTTTTCATGCTGAGACTAAATTTTTGCTCTAAATGTGTTATTTGTGAGCAGTTAATACTCACTAGGAAAAAAATACCTCCTTTTTAAGGAAGTGGGATAGAAAGAGAACATTGATTTTACTTATTAAAAAGCCCAGTTGTTCCTGTGTAGATAAAGTGTTAGAGCAGACAGCAGCATTATAAACGTCTCTGCAAATAAAAGAACAACTATGAGGCTCTGTGTGGCTGTTCTCCTGTTTCTCGGTGAGTTACACTGACCTTTTCTGACTAAACTGATCTATACCTTTAAACTTTTATCTTTGCAAAACTGTATTCCATAAAATGATCAGATTTGGCTTTAGTTTAGCAGCTTTTTACTGTAACTTTGTGAAACGGGGGGAGGTGCACACAGGCTGTATTTGTTTTTCTGTTTGTTGTTGCAGTTTTGACTCTACTAACATTTAACAACAGTAAGAGGCTCCATACACGTCCTGTCTAAATCTATTAAAACCAACTATAAATATTTTACATGTAATTTGATGTCATCAGTCTTATATCATTTAGACTAAATAAATGAAGTCAGTGTGACATATGTTTGTGTTATTTGAATCATGTTATAAAAATAAGTATATTTTGTGAGCAGTGCTCAGTGTCTGGGTTCATCAGAGCACAGACACTTTATGAGGCGGCTGAAGGTTTATTGTGTCACTACATGTACGTGTATCATGTACGTGTATCATGTACGTGTATCGTGTACGTGTATGTACGTGTATCGTGTACGTGTATCGTGTATCATGTACGTGTATGTACGTGTATCGTGTACGTGTATCGTGTACGTGTATCATGTACGTGTATCGTGTACGTGTATCGTGTACGTGTATCATGTATCGTGTACGTGTATCGTGTACGTGTATGTACGTGTATCATGTACGTGTATCATGTACGTGTATCGTGTACGTGTATCATGTACGTGTATCATGTACGTGTATCGTACGTGTATCATGTACGTGTATCGTGTACGTGTATCGTGTACGTGTATCATGTACGTGTATCGTGTACGTGTATCGTGTACGTGTATCATGTACGTATCGTGTACGTGTATCGTGTACGTGTATCATGTACGTGTATCATGTACGTATCGTACGTGTATCGTGTACGTGTATCGTGTACGTGTATCATGTATCGTGTACGTGTATCGTGTACGTGTATCATGTACGTGTATCATGTACGTGTATCATGTACGTGTATCGTGTACGTGTATCATGTACGTGTATCATGTACGTGTATCATGTACGTGTATCATGTACGTGTATCGTGTACGTGTATCGTGTACGTGTATCGTGTATCGTGTATCGTGTATCGTGTACGTGTATCGTGTACGTGTATCGTGTACGTGTATCATGTACGTGTATCATGTACGTGTTATCATGTACGTGTATCGTGTATCGTGTACGTGTACGTCGTGTATCATGTACGTGTATGTACGTGTATCATGTACGTGTATCATGTACGTGTATCGTGTACGTGTATGTGTACGTGTATCGTGTACGTGTATCGTGTACGTGTATCGTATCGTGTACGTGTACGTGTATCGTACGTGTATCGTGTACGTGTATCGTGTACGTGTATCATGTACGTGTATCGTGTCGTGTATCGTGTATCGTGTATCGTGTACGTGTATCGTGTACGTGTACGTGTATCGTGTATCGTGTACGTGTATCATGTACGTGTACGTGTATCGTACGTGTACGTGTACGTGTACGTGTATCGTGTACGTGTATCGTGTACGTGTATCGTGTATCGTGTACGTGTATCGTGTACGTGTATCGTGTACGTGTATCGTGTACGTGTATCATGTACGTGTATCGTGTACGTGTATCGTGTACGTGTATCGTGTACGTGTATCGTGTATCGTGTACGTGTACGTGTATCGTGTATCGTGTACGTGTATCGTGTACGTGTATCGTGTACGTGTATCGTGTACGTGTATCGTGTACGTGTATCGTGTACGTGTATCATGTACGTGTATCGTGTACGTGTATCGTGTACGTGTATCGTGTACGTGTATGTGTACGTGTATGTACGTGTATCGTGTACGTGTATCGTGTACGTGTATCGTGTACGTGTATCGTGTACGTGTATCGTGTACGTGTATCGTGTATCGTGTACGTGTATCGTGTACGTGTATCGTGTACGTGTATCATGTACGTGTATCATGTGTGTATCATGTACGTGTATCGTGTACGTGTATCGTGTACGTGTATCATGTACGTGTATCATGTACGTGTATCGTGTACGTGTATCGTGTACGTGTACGTGTATCGTGTATCGTGTACGTGTATCGTGTATCGTGTACGTGTATCATGTACGTGTATCATGTACGTGTATCATGTACGTGAGCCTCGTCAGTGGGACCAGAGTTGACTCTGGACAATACCAGTGTGTTTTGAAAAGAAACTACATAATAAAATATGGAACTCAGACATTTAGGACTGAACTCACAAAAAGTATGTATCTTATAATCAATTCTAAACATTTTCAAAAGCAACAAAAGCATTTTTAATATTTAACATTTTCTTTCTAACATTATCATTTATTTAAGATGCAGCTTTAAATCCAGCTTATACTCTTGAACCAGAACCTCAAGTCAATGAGTGAGTCACATGTTCATCAGTGTCCTGGTTATTCTCCATGTCCCGGTCATGTCAGTGTTCGTGTTTCTGTGTTTACATGTTCACTGACAAACCTGGACACTCATGTCCACGTGGACATGATCAAATGGAGTGTCCCGGTTTCTTCACATAATCTTACAAATGCACAAAATGAACTTAAATCAATTTAATAAACCAGGAAAAATACAAACCGTGAGCTCCTTTAGCATAAGAAGCTAACGAGCTACGAGATCTCCCACAATCCACTGCTCACATCAAACCAACAAACAACAAATAAACTCAACTTTACAACATCTAAACCATAAACACTATAGACACATCAGCTGTTTGATCAGATCATTCAGCTCTGATCACATTTGTTTACGTTTTACAGAAACGAAACTTAAGACCGTTTGGCTAATTAGCATAAACTGTTAGCGGTGATAAAAACAACTCGCTCCTTGTGTCGCTGATGTGATTCAGTTTCTTTTGGACTAAATGACTCGACTCTGTGGATTATGTGAGTTGTTTCTGTGACAGAAGAGGTGCTGATGATGGTGAGTCTGTTCTGTGTGTGTGTTGTACAGGAGATAGTTCATGTTTTAGTTTTTCAGCGTCACACTGCAGATTGTACATGTGCAGGTTTAGTGCAGCTCTTTATTTTACATCATTTCACTCGTTTGGTCAATTTATTTATGTTGGTCAATTTATTTATGTCTCTACTGTTGTGGTGAAAGGCTGGAAAGTGTCTTTTGGACTCATGCGACTCAACTTTATGTTGCATTAACCGGGATACTGCGTTTACATGCCACAAGTATCACAGTTACTATCGGAATAAAACCAGCTACAGTTACCTGGTTTCTAATAACCGGGACACTGAAAGTGTGATCGGGCTACGGCCACGCTTACCTTCGGGAGGTGTGCAGCTGAGGTCCTTTCTCCTGCCGTCATCTTCGATCCCGTTCTGACACTGAGTCCTGTTTTAGTCCTAGTTCAGTCCTGGTTTAGTCTCGGTTCAGTCCTGGTTTAGTCTCGGTTCAGTCCGTGGTGTGTGCAGCGCTACAGTTTGATATAATATACTTAACGGGCAGGTGTGTGTGCGGGTGTGGTGCTGCACTGCGCGAGTGCGAGTCTCCAAAAACCTGTGCATCGGAAAATAACATAAGGACGACAGCAGCAATAAGTTTTAAGTCTAAGAAAAGTGTATAAAGTGAGTGGTGACAGGTTTTACAGCCTTAAAACAGATGTAATAATTGTAAAATATAAAGTTGATACTTCGCTTATTTCACCTATCGTGAGTTATTTTTAGAACGTCACCCCCGCGATAAACGAGGGACACTGTGGTGTAAATAACCATGGAAACGAAGACAAAACGTAAGTTGAAATGTGTCCTTTGGCGGTTACTGTAGCTCAAACAAGCGTAAACATCTTTCTAATAATAATAATCAGAATCAGAAACATAATAATCACCATAATCATAATTCAGGCAGTTCAAGGCAAACAAAACTCAAATGAAGAAACATGCAGCAGCAGCTCACACGACTCTGACCAAAAGGGAGGTGACACAATTCGTCATCTTTTATTTTGAGAAGTGGTTACAGCGTAGTTCCTGCTTCACAACAAACCGAGTGCGACAAACTGTACAGACGCAAAAATGAAGCTTTGTCACGTCGCCGTCATTTTACACGGTGAGTACACGGTGCATTTGGATGGACACTTTAGAGAAACCAAAAATAAATATAAATATATATGTACTAAATGCATTTGGACTTTTTTAGTCACTTTTGAGTACGTTTGTAAAGAACATCTAAAAATAGGTTTTTCATAAAGGAAGGAACAGCACCACTAATGTGTGATGGACAGAGAGAGAGAGTTTGTATTTAATATTAAGGTGTTTTATAATGTGTAATGGGCGACATATTAAATTAATGTTAAGAAATCATGACTAAATTGATCAAATTCAGTCACATGGATATATTAAACAAACTCTAAACACAACAGTGAACAATAACAGAAGTGAATAAAAACTCAGAAACAAACAGAATCTACATTAGTTATGCAGCTGCTCTTCTGACTCTGCTGCACCTTTAAGACGCTGTACCCAGAGTCATGCTGCCGCTCATGCATGACGCACGCAAATGAGACCAAAACACAATGAGGAAAAGTTTATAGCAAACAACAAAACAAAGAGAACATCTACTTATGTTTTGTACGACGCAAAGATGAACAAAGATGAACAAAGATGAACAAAGATGAACAAAGATGAACAAAGATGAACATAACCTCGAACTGGATCCTCCCGCTCCTTTTTCAGACACAAGCAAAATTCTGTGTAACATTTATTACCTTCGCCAAGGAGGTTATGTTTTTGCCAGCGTTTGTTTGTTTGTTTGTTTGTTTGTTTGTTTGTCTGTTTGTTTGTCTGTTTGTTTGTTTGTCTGTTTGTTTGTTTGTTTGTCTGTTTGTTTGTTTGTTTGTTTGTTTGTTTGTCTGTTAGCAACTGATTTTGATGAAATTTTCAGGATTTGTTGGAAATGTGAAAAGGAAGAACTGATTTCATTTTGGGGATTGATCCGGAAGAAATCCTGGATTCTGGATCACTTTGAAATTTGAGTTCACACTGTGGTAAATGGGGCCAAAATTTAGTTTCTCAATATCTGGGTTAATTATTGACCAAACCCCATGAAATTTGACTCAGGGATGGACAATGATCCTCTTTCATATTCCAAATTGAAAGATACGAGACAAATATTTATGGAAAACACAATTAATATGAGGGGGACTGTGGTCCTTGGCGGAGTCTGTGCTCTCTGACTGACTTTCTAGTTCAGTCCTGTTATTATAGAATAGAAATACTTACTTTTTGTGTTATATCTGTGTATTTACGTTTTTGTGTTTTTTTTTATTATTATTATTTTTTTTTATTTATGTTCTATGTATTACTGTCCGAATAAATAAAAAAACAAACAAAAAAAACACAACAACAAGAGCACTCTCCTCACAGTCCCCAGCACCTGGCCCCAGCACCTGACACAGGGGCCACAGAAGGGGCCAGAGTTCTGATTGGTCACCGCACGTAGGGACAGTCTCCATGCAGAATCTGACCTTTAACTTGGTCTGGTTTGGTCTCCAGGAAAATAGAAATGTTCAGTACCATATTGTGAAACATTCCAGACGAAGCAATGACGTCTCCATCGGAAAAAGTTACGTAATGCACCTTTAACCAGATATTTTCTTAACATGTGCTTCTTCAAATTCAAGAACAAAGTGCAATTTAGTGTTTCGTTTAATTGTCAGTGTTTTTTTTAGTTTTTCACTTTATTTCATTATTATTCCACTATGTTTTTCTGGAGGGAGATGTATTGCAGTGCCTGAAATGTTCCGCATTATGGCATTAAACAGAACAATCCAGCATTCATTCAATTTAAAGTGTTTTATTGCTAAATGTTACTCGAAAAACTTGCACTGCTGGGGTCACCTCCCCACAGAACTGACCTGTAACTTGACTTCGTGGTGTCACCTGCTTGTCTCCATGGACACAGGCTGGTTTAATGCCTTAATGTGGAACATCCCAGCAAAGCAATGACGAGCAGGTGGCTGACCCTCCACCAAAATAAGTTTCATGGTGCACTTTTAAAAGTCTCATATTTATATGACAGAATTGACTTGTGTTATAAAGTGTCACAAACAAACCTGGAGCTGAGTTTTGTTTCAGTCACTGGCCTCGACTGAACAGCTTTACTTACTTAAATACTCTTAAAAAACTTGCTTTTATTTCTGAATATTCTTGTTTTACCTTTTGTTTTGTTGAAATTATGAAAGAAAGTGTCTCATATCTGCTGCTGCACTGAGGAATGAAACGATTTGATGAGGCTAAATCAAAAGCTGTAACTTAAAATGCAAATGCAGGCCTGAAATTACCAAAATGATTTTAGTGAAGTGTGCAAAACCCTGAAGCACTTCCTGTGTTTACTGTACGACATCACAAAGTGGAACGAAGTGTTTTCCCTTTGTCAGAAGAACTTTAAATATGCAGGGGTTGTGTGTTAAACATGTCAGAATGAAACAAAACTCCACTTTTACTATGTTCAGTCCAGTCGGGGTCTTGGGTTTGTACATTACAAACTTTTACATTTTTCAATAAGGGCGACGTTCTGTCTAGATTTTAATTTTAACCCTCGTAGAGCACATGTACTGCTGCTTTTTATTTTATTTATAACCCAGTGAAGCGCTCTTCTTCTTCTTCTTCTTCTTTTCTTCATCTGACAACTCTGTGTGTGTTTGTGATGAGGAAACGACATTATAACATAAATTAAATTAGTGCAGTCGAGCGTCTTTGATTAAGTGATCTGAGTTACAGTACAATACATGTCTGAAAGAAACTGGGTTTGAGGAGAAGAGACGGATACTGATTCTGAAAATTGTATTGAAATGCAGAATATAATGTTTTCACAGTTTTGTTCTTTCCTGAATTATGAACTTAATGGGTGTATTTTGTGAACAGTGCTGTATGGACTGTCTGGTTTCATCAGAGCAGAGGATGTTCATCTTGTGGCTGAAGGAGGAAACATCACAGTTGAATGTCAGTTTTATAGAAATGGACACATGAAGATCTTCTGTAAAAATAACTGTGACAAAGAAGAAAACATTTTGGTCAAGACTTCAGAAAATGAGAGATGTGAAGGAAGATACTGCATTAAATATGAGTACAAAGGTTTATTGAATCTTGATATCATGTACGTGAACATCACCAATGTGACCAAATCTGACACCGGACGATACCAGTGTGTTGTGGAAAGAAACATAATAAATGGAAACCATGAATTTAGGATTAAAGTCACAAAAAGTATGTATCTTATAATCAATTCTAAACATTTTCAAAAGCAACAAAAGCAGTTTTATAACATTTTCTTTCTAACATTATCTTTTTTTAAAAATTTCAGATGCAGCTTTAAATCCAACTTATACTCTTCAACCAGAACCTACAGTCACTGTGAAACCCACCACTGATATGGACCTGACTGTACAAACAGGTGACCAGACTTCACTCATGTCTGTGACTACAACACAACAGTCCACAACATCTTCTGATCATGAGCAGCAGACAAAACCATCAGGTACTGTGGAGATGTGCAGCTGGAGGCTGGACACTTGTGTTATTGATCTTAGCTGCGTCTGTGGTTCCCTCGTATGTGGATCTTTTGATCTGACATTACATCACGTGAGTCATGGGGGTTTTCGAGGCACAGGTTTCACAAGAAGAGATGAGACGTGAGACTGGGTTCACGAGAAAGAGATAAAGTCAGATTTTGTGAGTGTCAGTCCACAGTGTATTTGCCCTAATCATTTTAATTATTGGCTTTCAGAACTACAGCTTCTCAAGAGACGGAACTTTGTATTTTTTGCTCAAGCCAAATGTGAAATCTTGTGGTAGTTTTGCCTTGCGAGATCATGTGGCACGAGTCTTTTGTCATATAATCTTACATCACAGTTCTCCAGGAGAGAAAGAGAAAGAAAGAAGGAAAATACAGCTTTACAAGAAAGTTTTGTTTTTGTTCTAATCACCACCAGAAGGATTTTACACCACCTGCTGTTCTGTGGTGTCCAGGCTGGTGCCTCCTGGTGTCTCCGCTCAATTCCATTTCTCTCCAACGACTATAGGTCAGGAATCAGAAAACACTAGACCAGGGCTGTCAAGACCCTTGGCTGATTTTCTACTAAAATATTTACTCTATATTTTCTATTAAAATATTAGTAATTTTCTGCGGCGCTGAGCACAACAGCGTCTCTGTACGTGGCCCCTCCCACCAGAGCAGCACAAATGAAGAAAAATGTCAAAAATAAGAAAAGTGGAGCCGAGTGCAGGATTTTCCAAAAAAAAAAGACATATTCCTATTTACAGACAAGTTATTGTTAAAACAATGTGTTGAATCTGCATTTTTCTTCAAGTTTCAGGTTGTTCATAATATTATAATAGTTTGTAAAAGAAAGAGTTCATCAGCACTGGACGGTTCGCAAAAACCCCGGAAGTGCAAGTTCAGGCACCAGCCAATCAGTGAAGAGCCAAACATTCAGTGTTCTCAAAGATTCCAGAGATCAAGGATTTAAAGCCGGAACAAAGAGAAAGTTTGGTGAATTTTATCAAGGGGAAAGACGTTATTGTTCTTCTTCCTACAGGATCTGGGAAAAGCTTCATCTACCAGTTAAACCCGTTAGCGGCGCATTACATACGTCACGACCAAATAGCAGCGATTGGTTAAATATAAAAGTACCTGCCCACCGTTGAGCAAACAGTTTCTATGAAGTGAACTTTGAAGTGAACTGTGCTTTTTTGCAATTTCAACACCACTTTACCGGCTGAACATATTTTTGACTAAATGAAGTGAATTATCAGCAAGTTTTCATGGCAAATTCAACTCGTGAACCAGTACGTAGAAAATACTCCAAAACCTCCAGCTCGATCAAGTCTCCAACGCAACTCCAACTCCCAAATGCATTTTTTATTTCGTCTTACTTTAGTTTTGTTTTATAAAATACTAAAAACGTTAAAATATTGAAATCTATTGAAAAACAAACAAACTTCACTCTTCTTTGACAGGAGTATCACCGCTGTACGTGAGTCTGTCTCTCGTCGCTGTACTAATCCTGTTACTCGCTGCTCTGCTGATATTCTACTGTAAGAAGAGAACCAAAGGTGAGATTGAGAAACTAAATTAGAATAATATAATAATAAAACACGGTGAACTGGATGTTACTAAAGCTTTCGATGCCGTCTTGTTTTCCGCAGCATCTCCTGTGACTACGGAATACGGGTCAACTCCTGTGGTAAGTTTAAAGGTTGTACAGAGGATCTTTAAGTGAAGAGAAATACAGCGACACTTCTTTTTCAAATGTCGTTCATACGTGACACGATCTTCCTCCTCCTCCCGCCTCTTTACTCTAGAAATCACGTTTGTTTACATCCAGTGCTCGTTCAGAATCACTGTTGAAGTTTCCTGTCTAGAAGTAATTCAGCGACCGACGCGTCAGTTTTTAGACTCTTCGTCTGCTTCGGTCGCGCCATCGCTGGACGAGATCTCCAAGAATCACCTCAGTTTGTCTTCGCTCCTTTTCCTCTTCTCTTCTTCTTTCAGCGACCTCAAAAACCGACTTTCTTTTGCGGCGAACCGGTCGTGGATTCTCGTCCGCCGTCGCGACAAACTTTGTGCGAAATACGAGGAAGCGACAGTTTAAAAAAGCCTCTAAGAACCTCTGCATAAACCACGTAATCCCCGCGCTCCGACGAGTCAGTTACACTAGGGAGTTTGATTGACAACGTAACAGCCAATAGAAAATGAGGGAGCCTCGTTTTCTATTGGCCGATGTTTATCTGGCCTCAACACGTCCACAGTTGATAGATTTTCGTTCTTTTTTTTTTTTGGTCATAATTACAAAGCTGCTGCGTCTGTAATGGTGTTTTAATCTTTGACTGACAGTTTGAAACAAAAAATCCTCCATACAACCTTTAAGTCACATCAGCCACATTACTGGGTCACAGGTAGAGATCTGCAGTTCTCATGAGCTGTTTTTAAGTTCAATACTGGTAGATAGAGATATGCACGTTCAAGAAAAGTTGTGTGTGTTGGGGCCAAAAACGTTGACAAGAAATAGTGCAAAAGAAAGAGAAAGAAAGAGATCCGCACTGCAGTTCTTTGAAGCTCCCAAATGTTTGTTGTTTGTTTCGGGTCGAGTCCTTCTCTTTTTCTTTTGCGCTATTTTTAAGTTCATCAATCATGCCAGACTCATTCCGAGCATTTTTACAGTCAAATCAAGTTCATAACAACTGCTTGCTTACACTGGCGCGCCTTTAGCTGTTGTCTTTTCAGAGGTGATTCCCCGTGACCACAGACGGAGTCAAAATGCCAAATCCAGATGCACCTGACTGACTTTGCTTCATATCATACTTTATTTTAACTTCTCGATGAAATGTTAAATCAAATGTACTTTAAGTGCTTATGTCAGGTTAGACTACTCATGTTTTTTACTGAAACACAGATCGTTATAGTTACGATTGATAAGCAAAAACAATCACACTCGTTTTGCCATTTTGGAATTTTACTTTCTGGGTGGAAATCATTATCCAGGCTGGTACCAGCCAGTGCCTCCGCTCAATTTCCTTTCTCTCCAGCGACTAAGTCAGGAATCAAACTTTACTAGACGGTTCGCAAAAACCCCAGAAGTGCGAGTTCGGGCACCAGCCAATCAGCGAAAAGCCACATGTTCAGTGTTGCCAACGATTCCCGAGATCGAGGATTTAAAGCCGGAACAAAGAGAATGTTTGGCGAATTTCATCAAGGGGAAAGACGTTATTGTCCTTCTTTCTACGGGATTTGGGAAAAGCTTAATACACCAGTTAACCTCGTTAGTGACACATGACGTATGTCTCCACCAAATAGCAGCGACTGGTTAAATGATAAAAAGTACCTGCCTACGGTTGAGCGAACGAATCACTGCGACGTCAGACGGTTTCTACAAAGTGAAACTGGCTGATGAATCAGGCGAGGAAATCATGACATCACACTCGGAATGTTATGGCAAAACTTCACTAATGTTCAAAGAAATTATTATCCAACAAATCCAAATATAAGAAAACACATTTCCATCTGTCATTCCTCTGCCTGGAATGTTCCACAGTTTGGCATTTAACAGCTCTATCTTACATTTATTCAATTACAAGTGGTTTCACAGCTAGAAAAACAGAGGGTCACCTCTCCACAGATCTGACTTGTAACTTGGTCTGGATTGGTCTCCATGAGGGTGAAAGGTTTAATGCCATACTGTGAAACATTCCAGATGAAGCAATAACCATGACTCTCCCTCAGACCCACAGAGTCTATGAGGAGATCCCAGACAACAGAACTTCTCGTCCAGTGGAAATGTCCACAGTTTATGCTTCAGCCTCCTTCAGTGGACCTGAAGACCACACTTCAGATGTCTACAGTCTGGCCACAGCCCCGGGAGACCAGCACCAAGTAAGAAAAATAAGCAGAACTTCACTTTATTGCAAGGTCAACATAACACGTGTAAGATCTGTGTAGTGAGCGATGTGGTTGCTGTAATAGACGCATCAAGAATCTCAGACTTCTGGTCATTGCGCAATTCACACTGGGAAGGATTTTCCGTAAAGTGAGCATCAAACCTCCATGTTTGTTTTCCCAGTGGGACGTGTCTATTGACAAAGTGGATCTTTTCAAGTCTTTTGAACCAAATCACTTTTGTTTCTGCTTCTGATATTGTCATATTTTAGTTTTGGGATTCGGACATCGTTAATTGTTGTGGTTGTTGGATCCAAACAGCGGAAAACGACTCGAGAAATGTGTTTGTGAACTTCATAAATGTAAAAGTGAATCAGATGTGTGTGACTCAAACCTCTGTTCAAACTGTTTCTCTTCCCAACGGAATTGAAAAATAGTGAAAGGTGAAGGTGATGGGCAGGATTGATCCACAGGAAAGACAAAAAAGAAATCATCCTGAGTTTGCAGAGAACATTTTGTATGTGGAGCGACGACAAAACAAAATCCTGATCCCTCGTTCAAACTCGGTTATGAATTTAAAAAGTCAAGGCCAAAGTGAAAGTCTCCAACTGTTCACCAAGAAACACCTTCCACTGCAAAGACCAAGACGTGATGTTTGTGTAAAACCACAAGAACAAGAAAGTGCAGCTCAGTCTGTTTGTCTTCTGCTCCTCTACATTAACAAACAGGATTTTGTTTTGTTGTTGCTCCACATACAAAATGTTCTCTGTAAACTCGGGATGATTTCTTAGTCAGACAAATGTTTCCTTTTTGGTTCTTCCTGTGGATCAATCCTGCCCATCACCTTCACCTTTCACTATTTTTCAATTCCGTTGGGAAGAGAAACAGTTTGAACAGAGGTTTGCAGTAGGGACGGGCATTCGATGAAATTTTCTTAACGATCGATTATCGATTAATCATTAACGTTTTTATATTAAAATGATCATCATTATTATTACTATCTGCACTAATCTGCATAAATAAATTCAACTTTACGACATATAAACATAACGACTCTAGATCCACATCAGCTGTTTGACATTATAATGTGTTTAATTCAGTTTTGTTCAAATCTCACAGAAACAAAACTTAAAACCACATCACTAATTTACATAAACTAAGTGAAGATAAAAACTCCAGCTCTTGTGTCGCTGATGTGGTTCAACTTGTGTTGGATTAAAAGACATGACTCAGGTGAATACAGGTCAGTGTGACCAGATTTGTGTTTGTCAAAACCAGGACAGCGTACGGGGGGAGGGGGGCGGGGCCTCGTCATCCACATTGAGCGACTCTCACCTGGAAAAACTTTTTCCCACTGGACACAGAAACATATGTGCTGCTTTATCCACTGTGCACATGGACTCACACTTGTCCCAACGCAACGGAAAGTGTGGAATTTCTTCTACAAATCCTGGTTAAATCCACATTTGTGCTTCGGTTCGTTACAGACTGACCCACTGTTTGTGTCTCGCTCCTTCTGATGCAGAGACACATGTACACACCTGTTTGGTCACGACACACACAGCAACATACATTCGGTTTGTCAATTAAAATTACGTAATCGATTTAATTCTTAATGATCAATTATCGATTCATTGATTAATCATGCCCATCCCTAATTTTCAGTCACACACATCTGATTCACTTTTGCATCTATGGAGTTCGCAAACAAATTCAAGCTGTTTTCCGCTGTTTGGATCCAACAACCACAACAATTAACGACGTCTGTATCCAAAAACCAAAATATGACAATATCAGAACCAGAAACAAAAGTGACATGGTTCAAAAGACTTGAAAAGTTCAGCTTTATCAATAGACACGTCCCACTGGGAAAACAAACATGGAGGTTTGATGCTCACTTTTTCGGAAAATCCTTCCCAGTGTGAATTGTGCAATGACCGGAATCCGAGATTCTTGATGCGTCTATTGGACTGTTTTTTATTTTTCTGCACTTATACATACAACATATAACAATAAAAAGGGCACACGAGATAAAAAGTAGGTGCAGGAAGAGGAAAAAAACCCCAAAAGGGCTTATATTATGCTACTTCCTGATCTACGTTGTAATGTTCATCAAAAACATATCTGGAGTTGTGTTTTGTTTCATTCTCACATGTTTAACACACAAATCCTGCATATGTAGACTCACTTCTTCTCTCAAACAGAAATCACCCTTTTCCACATTGTGATGTCACGTGGTAAAAAGTGCCCCACTGTGTTTTCAAACTTTATACACGTCATTTGGATCATTTCAGCCCTGGAATCTCTCTCTTCTGAACAAAAGGTAAAAAGTAGCTGTTCATGACATCACAAGGTGGAACAGAGCATTTTGAGCTTTGATGATAATAAACCAGGGTTATTCAAATATGCGTGAATGCAGCTCCAGTTATGTTCTGGAGGAGGTAACAGCGTTGGTTTAACATGGTTTAAAGCTCACAAGAGTCAGTTTTATGTAACAGCCTAAACCTTATGAATGTATTAAACTGAACATAATAATCATGCATTATTAAAAAAATATAAAAGTAAAAGATGGAGCTGGGTGGAAAGTCTTAATTTACCATCAATCGACCAGGGAGAAGTTGCCGATACGATACAGACCTCGATACGGTGCACTTTCGATTCGATATATTTCAAAATGATTTGATACATTTCAATAAAAAATTTATTCTAAATTATGGCTGTGATACTAAAAGTCTTTGTTAAACCACTTCTTCTGCAAATTTTAAGCCAAAAACCCCATTTTAATCATCAAAATTGCCAAATGTGTTGCACAATCGAGTTTCCTTCCTCTAAACGAGCAATAAAACTGTAGTAACAACATCATTTAGTAAAATACACACACAGAAAAGCAGCAGCTCGATACTGTATCATCACATTAAATAATACGATATTTCGATATTTTTGCACATTACAGTCTCTCTATGGATATAATGTTGTATCACGCGAAGTTTGACATAACTTTAAAAAGACATTTGCATCTGGAATTACAGTATATAGTGTCTCCAGGATTTCTGATCAAGGTGGATGTGACTGTGTAACTTTTGGGTTGGGGGTCAGTCACCTGCTTGTTCCTATTGGCTTAGAATGTTCCACAGTATGACATTAAACAAATCTATTTTACATGTTTTCAATCACAGGTGATTTTAATGCTCAAAAATACCTAGAAAACAGACATTCTGACAGTGAGCGGGGTCGCCTCTTCACAGATCTGACCTGTAACTTGGTCTGGTTTGGTCTCCATGAAGATAGAAAGGTTTAGACAAAGCAAGAACATCTCCATGAAGAAAAGTTTTGACAGACCCTCCACCAGAAAAGTTATACAATTGACCTTTAACTAAACACTCTATTCATGAAAAAAACTAAAAAATAATTCAAACACGGCAGCTTCTAAGTAAACCAATTATCAAAATTATTGGTAGTGGGGTTAGAATTCATGAAATTTCCATTAAGCAAGATTCTACAGCTTTTCTCACTCACTGTGACTAATACATGAAGCACTAAAACGTTAATGTGATCTTCAAAAAAAACAAACTTTGTTGCTTCTTTACTTAAGGAATTTATTTTTTCTACCAAATGCAAGGAACATTTTTGCCTCTACAACACCTTATTTTTACACAAAACATTAAAATATGAAAAACGTATATTACACACACTACATTTTCCTTATGCAAATGAAATAAATTGAAAGTTTAAATACTAAATGTGCCTCTTTTCACTTTGTTATGTCATTTAGTACCTTTAAAGTTATTAGTGGTTAAGATGAATTCCTGTGAGATGAGCCATTTTCCAACACGTGCTTGTTTTGTAGTCAGACATTGGGTCTGGACTTTACTCTGACTTACAAAGAATTGTAGATTATTTGCAACTTTCACTTACCAGAAAACCAAAGTCAAACAAAAAAGGCATAAGATCTCATTCTTTGTTATATGGATGAGTTTTTGAACAAATGATTTAGACGTGCAGGGTGGGATGACTCATGCTTTAAAAGTAGTCATGCTTCTATAACAGGAAAGAGGAACAACTCAATGATCGTTTATATTCAAAAAGCATCCGGTTTATTGGGGAAGTGTGCAGCCAAAAAATTGTGCAAGTGACTAAACAGAAAATGCCAAATACCTGTCTTCTCTTGGAGCTTCATGTAGGGATATGAATCTTACTGTAGACTGTGGGTTTGGTTACTAACATTTAGTAAGAACATAACAAGATCCAAGTCTCACGATACGATATCATCACCGTACGAACCTCACGGCACAATATTTATTGCGACATCGTGGGAAAGTTCACGATTAGGAATGTAACGATATCCAAATCACTCAGTACGATATTTTCACGATATATATATCTCATGGTACGATATTTATTGCGATATTTTGTGGAGGTTAAACAGCTAAAACTGTTAATATGCCACTTCTTTCTCGTAAAATGCCTTGACAAGATTTAATCCAGAGAACTAAGACTTAAAAGTGCTTAAAACTGTCAGTTCTTCTTGTAGTCTTCTTCTTGTAGCAAAGGATCATGGTCTATGTAGTTCCCTCTGTCTTTTTTTTATCTATTGCTGCACCATAACTCTTAATTTAAGCAAAGAGACTTGTAATTCAATATATTGTGACCGTCCATGATATTATTGTGAGAATTTTGACGATACGATATCACGATATTTCAGTTATTGTTACATCCCTAGATAATGTATTTAATCCAATTTTCACAAGAGAGGGAACATATATGCTTAAATACTTATTTAAAGATGCACTATGCAACTTTTTCATCAGTCTTCCACAGTATGACATTTAAAAAAACAAAAAAACAAAACAAAACAGGCATTCTGACTGATCAGGGTCGCCTCTCCACAGATCTGACCTGCGAACTCGGACCCCTGTTACACTGAAACGAGTCCGTGTATCACGTATCAATGTATCAGAAATGATCTGCCCCACACACACACGTTGTTTCTGTGTCCA